TGTGTGTGTGTGAACAGCGCTGCCCCCTGCTGGAGGGGATCAGGGCCAGGTGTGTGTGTGTGTGTGTGTGTGTATGAGCCTGTGACCTTTCCACCCTCATATTCTCCAGCCCTGTATCTGCTACTGCAATAAACGCCCGCATTGCAAAGTGTTGGATTTTTTTAACCGCCACGTCTCCAGCGGGGCCTGGGGCAGGAGGGGGGGGGCGAGGGGACAGCAGAGGCAACGTAGATTTTGTCGACAGTTGCAGGATTTAATCGTTTGGGGAAATGAACCCCTGAGATCTAATCACCTCCAGCGTGGCCACTATTTGAACATGCTAGCCGGGGAGAGGTGCTATAAACGCCGAGCGGCTGGCGCGGGGCGCAGAGTTTCTCTCTGCCCAGCAGGCCGGGGACCCAGAGCGACATTTAAATCTAGAGCCGAGCGGAAGTTTTCATACCAAACTTTTCTTTCCGGGGAAAAAAATGGAGATTCGGTGAGTGCGAAACGTTCTGTCAATTTCACCGACTTCTTTATTTCTGGGGGTGGGGGAATGAAGAAAACCAAACAAATAAAAAAAAAATAAAAAAGAATATTTGCGGCTGGCAGTCACAGATCGGCTACATGTCCCCTCATACCGTCCCCTCCATAAACTGATCAAGCTCTGTCTTGAAGCCAGGTAGGTTCCCCCCGCCCCCACTGCTCCCCTGGGGAGGCTGTTCCAGAACTTCACTCCTTGGATGGTTAGAAACCTTCATCTAATTTCAACCTAAACTTGTTGATGGCCAGTTTATATCCATTTGTTCTTGTGTCCCCATTGGCACTTAACTGAAATAACTCCTCCCTCTCCCTGGTGTTTATCCCTCTGATGTATTTATAGGCAGCCATCATAAAGGAAAAATCAAAAAGGAACTAGATAAGTTCATGGAGGATAGGTCCATCAATGGCTATTAGCCAGGTTGGGCAGGGATGGTGTCCCGCGCCTCTGTTTGCCAGAAGCTGGGAATGGGTGACAGGGGCTGGATCACTTGATGATTCCCTGTTCTGTTCATTCCCTCTGGGGCACCTGGCATTGGCCCCTGTCGGAGGACAGGATACTGGGCCAGATGGACCTTTGGCCTGACCTAGTCTGGCTGTTCTTATGTTCTTATATCCCCCTGCAACCTGCCTGGATGCACCCCTGGGTGCTAGGACTCTGGTCAGCAAACGGCGACTGGGGTGCAGCGGAAGGGTCCCTGCGAGGTGGGAAACTGAGGCAAAGGGCAACAGCCCAAAATACCAGGGCCGGGGTTTAGCTTTGCCAGATTTCCCAGGGTTTTTGTTCTGTACTCTGAAGAGGAACCCCCGGCTATTGAACTCGGCCTTTGGAGCTGCCGACGCCACCGCTGTCGGGGGTCCTTGGAGAGGGTCACCCCTTTATTCCTACCCGTTCCCCGGCTCTTAGATGGCTCCGCTCCTTGCATCACTCACCACTAGGGGGAGCTCGTGTGTAGCAAATTCCTTTGCTCCTTCTCTTCTCAGAGTCTGGGGCTGGTTGTTTCCGAGCTCGAGATTTAAACAACTTTGATCCCGGTACCGTCAGGGCTGTGCCATCTCGGAGCCGCCTGTCTTCCATGGGCACCAGGTTATATGGGTACCAGTGGCTGGGCCTCACCTATATTCTGAGGCTGGATTGGAGCCAATGCCCCCTAGAGGGGCAAGGCCCCATGTCCCATTCCCCAGCCCCTGAGCCAGCCAGTCTCCTGCCCTGGGGCTGGATCGGGGCCGGCGCCCCCTAGAGGGGAAAGGCCCCATCTCCCATTCCCCACCCCTGGAGCCAGCCAGCCCGTCACCCTTTTCCTCGTCCTTCTTCAAGCCCTTATACTCCTGAAGCCGCCCAGGGCCTGGGCTCACAGGGTAGCAGAACGCCAAGTCCAGAGCTTCCGGAGTAAACGCGGCAGAGCTGGATAAAAGGAACAGAGCCCATTGCTAGCGGCTGCAGCGTATCCACCCTTTGCCATGAGGCCCAGTCACAAACCCGGCACCTCCCTTTCCAGCGCGGCTTTCCTAGCCCCCCTACCCCAGCTGGTACGCTCGCCGGCGTCCGCGCCACGGCCGCGAACCTCGAACGGGCTCATGTCAATAAAGGGTCAAATATGGTGACCTCCAATTCTCCTCCCCCGGCAGCACGGCAGGGTCTATAGAAAGCCGAACACATTGCAATGCGGGTGTGTTTATTGTAGGGGCAGACACAGAACGAGAATAAGCATCAGTTGGATGGTTGAAGAGCGGCCAGAGAAGAACCAGGCGAGTGACTGAAGGCTTAGACAACTTGCCTCCTGGAGCTCAATCTATTAAGCTTAGCAAAGAGACGCTCCCGGGGTGACTTGGTCCCAATCTAGAAGGACCTATGTGGGGAACAAATATTTGATAATGGGATCTCCAATCTAGCAGAGAAAGGTCTAACGTGAGCCACTGGCTGGATATTGAAGCTGGACAAACTCACACGGGAAAGACAGTGTAAATTTTTGACCGTGAGGGGAATTGACCATCGGCGCAATTAACCAAGGGTCGTGGTGGATCCTCCATCGCTGATGATTTTAACCTAGATTGGATGGTTTTCTAAATGATCTGCCCTAGGCCTTTGTTTGGGGGAAGTGCTCTGGCTGGCGTCAGACCAGATGACCACAACGGTTCCTGCTGGTCTGGAAATCCGGGAATCTATGAACCCAGAGCTTGCAGGGCTAAGGCCTTTCTGTTGATGAGCTTCGGGTTAGGGTTAGGGTTAGGGTTAGGGTCCCATCAATGGCCCTCATACAACTGGAGAACCTCAACGGGGCAAACCCACGAGCACCCTCGTCTGCACGGCTGGGGTTGCCAGTTTGGGTTGGACGTATTCCTGGAGGTTTGATCATCACTTTACTTTCCTGTCCTCCTGCAGTGCACCCTGGGAAAAATCCCACCAGGCACAGGGCCATGCACCGGGGAGACCGGCTCCGGCTGTGGTGCAGCTGTCGGGGAAAGCGCAGACCTGCGAGGGAAGAAGCTCAAACGGGAGTCAACAGAGCGGTGGGGACAAGGGGTGTTTTGCTACAGCGATGCCCCGTTAGTGACAGCGGAAAAGCACATGGGGAATTTTTGCCCGCCTGGGTAGACAAGGCCACGCGCACGATGCTCCACGGAGCTCCTGGCTAAAGGCAGCTCTGGGTTGCTGCTGCCCCTCGTCGCTCCGGGGCCTCACAAGTGCAGCACTGCGGGGAGACACAGACACGCCCCACGTTAGCCAGCAGGACACCCTCAGCCACAACCAAGACCCCACTTAGCAAAGCCTGGTCAGTTCTATTCTTCCCTCGGCATGGGGGGTAATTGGGGCACACGGATTTGCCTAAACTCAACCAGTGGGTCAGTGGCTGAGCTGGGGAAAGAACCCAGGAGTCCTGGCTCCCAGCCCCCCTGCTCTAACCCACCAGCCCCCACTCCCCTCTCAGAGCCGGGGAGAGAACCCAGGAGTCCTGCTTCCCAGCC